CAGACAAATTCAATTTTGTGGTCCTGTTACTGTTTAATAGTTATGATATGCCAACAAGTTTTTCTGGGTATGCAGTTGTCTTTTCCCAACCACTCAAGAAAAAAAAATGTCTCAAGTCAAATGCACACAGCATATTTAAGATCCAATTCAAAATATCGTTACTGAGTGCTTGTTATCTGCGCAGAACTGATAAATACAGCCTAGCTTTTGCGTACAAGGAGACTAGTTTATTACAACCATGGGCCAATATAATATCCATATGCACGTGTTTTTTTATTATTATTATTTTGTTTAAATAGGTACCTTAAATCCAAAAAAGCCTACTTATTGCCCACCTTGGGGTACTCAGCATCAAGACATAGGCATATATGTTGGCATAAAGGTGTTTCACACAGCATGACACTATGATAATGACAATAATGATATTAAGAAAAATAAGGGTTGCCACCTCGGGCAAGGTCAAACCATTGGTCTCAGGGGAGTTGGCGGCTCTGGTCAAGCAGCCACAACAGGTGACTAAACAGCTGCCTGGTTATATTATCTGTCAACCTCTTCTGCCAGCAGAAACAGACATTCTTTTTCCCCCTACACTTAAAGGAAAAATCAAATCCAGTGTTTCAAACTACCAAGGCTACCTTAATTATATAGAAAATTTAAAACAGTCAGTGTAATTTGGGGGCAGCAGAGTGCAGCTGTACTCACGTGGTGTACATCAACCAGCTCTAACACCCCTGCCAAGTGGTTAACCTCTCTGAACTCTGTTTTCCTTCAGCCTACGTGATTGGTACAGGACTAAGTCAGAGAATTACGTTAAACACTTTTCACACATTTTGCATGTAGTAAGTGCTTAATAAATGGTGGCTGTTGTTATTACTTTTAAATACCAAAATAATGCAATAGCTATGTTTCCTATTTATTAAAAAAGTACCTAAAGATCAAAGGTTGCCAGGGTCTGGGGGCTGAAGAAGAGGAAGACCACAAAGGGACTGGGGGAGTTTTTTGAGGTGATGTAACTATTCTATATCTTGACTGTGGTGGTGATTACATCACTATGTGTTTGTCAAATCTCACAGAACTGCACACCAACAGAAGAGAATTTTACTTTATGCAAATTACACCACATTTAACAAAGTACCAACTAAAATATCCAATTAGTTTTGATTAAAATAAATAATCCAAATATATAGAAATTTTAATTTCATTTATTTTGAATATTAAAGATAAATCTAGGCCTAAAATGCTACTTCATATTTTTAGGCTAAACTCCTGAGTTAAAGGATTGAACTGTTTGCAAAAAACGGGTACTATCTGAACAATTAACCAAATTAATTATTTCAAAATAAAGTATGCATTGTACTGAATGGTGTGATAAAATGAAATATGAAAAGAGAAAATGAAAGTAATGTTTTCATTTACTAGATTACTTAAGAAGACAAACATAATGGCTCCTTCCCTAAAAATCTAGTAATGAGCCCTTGTAAATAATCTAAAAGTCTAACACTATTTTCAATAAGCTAAGGAAAAGTAGAAAAGTATGGTGATAAGTTCCATGATTTATTTATCTTCTCACAGTATTTGTAAAAGGTTCTACAAGGCTGCTTACTCTGAATTTTCATCAACACTATTATCATAACCAAGGAATTCTTTTTGCATAGTTCTTACTTTGGCAGAAATGTAGTTTGACAACAATTTCTTACTCAACACATATTTACAAAACAGATGGAGTTCAAAAGAAATGATTTGAAATGAAGAATATAGTTCTGATCAGCACACAGTATATTTCTGCATATGTCCTACACCTCAGCCATAGTCCACTGTTTATCATATTTAGGCTGTTATTTCTCGCTTTGATTTGGGGCTTCTCACCTGAGAGGGCTGTGAAGGCTGTAATGAAGATGGAAGCTAGCAAACAAGCATAGCTCACAAGCCCAACTCTTCAGCTAATGCAACCACGTAAATTCTGGTCTCTGTTCCTTAGCTAGCATTTACTCCTGCCATTTTCTCATGCCCCCAATTATCACATTGATCAGCAATTTACCTCCACCTCTACTATTCCATCACCTAACTACATTCATCCCTTATATTCAAAAAGGACATAAAACCCAGGAAGGATGTCACTATTGCTTTTTACATGGACTTTTGCTAAGTATTTTATTATTTTTTTAAACAAAAATAAAATGTAATGTCTGCCATTCATGTGACAAAACATATGTGCATTATTCAATGCTATATGAAATGCTGACGTTAAAGTAAAAGATCTCTTTACTCTGTTAGGATATTGTCTTGATGCTGTTATATCTTTAAAAATACCTAAATTTCTAAAATCTTGATTCTTCAAGGCACCAATTCAAGGAGAAACATGCCTACTGGTTACCTACTTAATTATAGTATAGTCCTGTCCTATATAATCCAGGCTTGATCAACTTTGAGCACTATTTCCATAGTTTTAAGGGGTGTTTTAAAAAATGCAAGGTGAAAATAGAGGCAATAAAAAGCAGTCAATCAAGTCATTTTAGGAGATACAAGTCAATGAATAAGATACGAGATGAGTAAATCCAGAATAACCCATTTTAGAAATTAAGAGAACAGAGAAAACATGTACTTCCTTATCATTCCTCCATTCATTCAGGAAGCAATCTATTGAGGCCTTACTATATTCCTGTCAATGTGTATCTAGGAATACAATTGTGAACACGAAGCCAACTGCCTTCATTAGCAGGAAGAAAAATGACAAATCTTTGAAAGTTTAACAGTTGAAAAATCAGTGATTACTAAATAATTAATCATTTCTGCATGTTATTCTAGACTCGTCAATGAAGAAGTGACATCTATTGACAAGTTCTCAATTCCACTTATTAGAAATATTGGCAAACCATCCTTCCTAATCTCCCAAGAAAGTAAAATTAGAACAGATGCTGTTCTAATTAAGTTACACTGTGAATCCCACCATAAACATCAATAAAGTTTAAATTTTTTTTCATGTAAAAACAGGTCCCTGTTTTTAATTGGGGGTGAGGAGTTAAAATGAAGTAAGCTGGTATCTTCACCTCAAATTTCATTAATACCACAGTGCAAAATCACCACAAATTTCTGGTCACCGATAAAAACAGATAAGACACACAAGTCTGTCAATAGGATTATCACACACGCTTAAAAGCAGTTTACATGGAAACATAAGATAAAGAGTAAAAGAATATGAGTCACTAAAAGCTAGGTATGCAGCAAAAATATATTTCACTGTCCTTAGTTAAACCCGAATCAAAACGCCTGCTGCAGGTAGTTAATGCACTTGAGCTTTAAGCCCTTCAATTGTGCCCTTGCCCAGACATAAACCTTGCAAACAGATGACAAAGCGAAAAACAGTTTCACAACTGCCTGTTACATAGAGTAGCAAGGTGGTATATTCCACTAGATTACTACATGAGTTGATAACACCATCAGACACTTACATTGTACATAGAAGATTTCTGTAGATCCAATTAAATTTCAAATACCACCAGTGCCAACTCTTTTCACTGTGGCCCATTCTGTCCTCGTTCCCACCAGCCATCAGCCATAGGAAGGGTGGGTGCAGCCCTGTCAATGTGCTTTGCTGCTGCTCCCTGTCCTGGTAACCTCCTGATGTTAAGAAAGCAACGTTTTCATATTTGATCTAAACTTGAGCAGAATGAGCTAGGCTCTGCTCTCCTTAGCTCATCAACTACATTTTTTTCACTTCATGTGGCGAGAGAAATATTTTTACACTGCAGACCAAATTATAATATTAGAATGAAACCACCACAAACTCGGGAGTTCCTAATATTACGTCTTGAGCTTAAAATACACTAAACAATCACTGACTTTTTCTGCTAAATAACACAATGCAAAAGATATCAAAACCAAGCCAACTGCCCAAAAGAACCTCCTCAGAACTGAAGGCCAGCCTACTGCTGTAAGAAGGGGAAAAAAAGAAAAACTAAGTCGTGCACAACTAGAAATCTCTCAACATTAAGAAAGTGGAAATCTGCATTGATGTTCAGAATCCTGCTCCATGTCTCCTTGTGACTGAGTGACCAGAGACTTTGCACCCTCCAAGTATCACTGTTTGCAAAAGGCAACTATATATATATATACGTCAGAAGAAACCTATTAAATAATCTGTTCACCACCTGGAATTTTTAAGAAAATGTTTTCACATAATCACCAACTGTTTTGAACATCAATAGAAACCTTAACAGGGAGTCTATTACCAGCCCAGGCTACCACAGAAGAACATACCCTGCCCAGCCAGGTACAGGCCATAATTTCAGGCCAATCCTGGGAGAGGTGACAGTCCCAAGTTCAACTGGGAATGTCTGAACACAGCTCCCCCTGCACATTAAGGAACAGCTCTCCAATTTTCCCAAATGCCACTTGCATCCAATCCTTGCTCAACCATCCCAAGCACCCGTGCACCAGTGGTTCCCCTTAGCAATGGGCTCCTCTTACAACCCCCCCCCCTTCCCACCACTTCCCTCTCGGAGGAACAAACCCCAAGGACGGCTGGGGGTGGGTGATGAGCGCCCTTCTCCCACCTACCTTGATGATGCTGCTCCGGCGGGGCAGGCCGCCCGGCTTGTTTTCCCGGGGCAGGGGGCAGGCGGCCGAGCTGGGGGCCGGGGCGAGCGCCCCGCCGTGGGGTCCCCTGGCAGGGCTGGCCCGGGCTTCGTCCCCGGACACGCCGAGGCTGCAGTCTCCGTTGGAAACCCCACCGCTGTCACAGCGCGCCAGCCCGTGGCCGAGGCGACTTCCCCCGCCGCCACCGCCGCCACCTTCCCCGGCTCCGGCTTTCAGGACGCCCTTGGTGCCGAGGGCCGGGCCCGGGGAGGTGGGCAGGGCCCCGCCGGCGGCGCCCCCCCGACCGCACTCCGCCATGGGCGCCCCACGACCCGCCAGCACAAAGCCGCGTCCCCGCGTCCCCGCCGCGCCTCGGGCCGTGCGCGGCCCCTCCTCCTCGCCTCTCTCGCCTCCTCCCGCCGCCGCCTCGGCGCTTCTTCCGCTTTTTTTTTTTTTTTTTAATTTAGATGTGATGTTTGTTTAGAGCTCGCCTCGCGCCCGGTGGAAGTCCTGGCGGCAGAATGGTCGGGAGATCCCTGCAGGGGAGAGAAGAGGGAGAACAAGTCAGCCCCGGCGGAGCCCGGCTCCGGCACCTGGGAAGGAAAACACGCCCGACACACGCCCGACACACGCGCCGCCGCGGGCGCCGAAAATAACCGCGCGGGCTGCGCGCCCACCCCGGGGCTCCCGGCGCCCGCCCCAAGGTAACGGGGCGCCAGCCCTGGCGCTCGGGCTGCCCTCCCCGGGGGCTCAGGGCACCCCGCCTGGAGGTCGGCGCACCCACCACGCGGTAACCGGGCGCCCTGCGCGGGGCCGGGGCGCCCACCTCGAGTTGGAAGCCGGGGAAGCCGCAGGCGACCCGATGCGCTCTGGCCACGCGGAGGCGCCTCCCGAGGGTCTCGCCGCTCCGAGCGGACGGGAAACGACGCGGGTCTCCCCGGATCCCAACTCCCCAAAGGCTGTCGCGTGCCGCCCCTGCCACGTCCGCTCAGGGTCCCTCTGAGGCCTGAAGCGCGGAGAGGAAGCGCACGGCGGGCAGGGCGGTCGTGCTGTGACAGTCGTGGTGTGGCCCAGGGTAGCCCAGACGCACCCACCCTCGCCCGCGGCGGTCTCCTCCCGGGCTCGGCGCTGCCCCCTACAGGCAGCGGAGACCGCCCGCGGACCCTCGCCCACCGCCAGCCGCCCGGCCCGGCTGGAGGTCCCGCCGTCGAGGCGTGGCCAGGTCATCCGGCCGGGAACCTCCTGGCCCGGGGGGCGGCGAGGAGCCGTGGACATGCCCCGCTCCACTCGTGCTGCAGTAACTGCCAATCACCCACCCGGCGCCCCCGGAGAAACGACCTGGCAGGCCCGGGGCCAGGAGCGAGGTCCCCGGGTCTCCCCGGGCTCGGCTGCTGCGCCTCCCTCCTACCCCCAGCCCCGGCTCCGGAGCGTTCCCCTCCCACCCAGCTTGGGGACGAGCCACCCGGACGTTCCCCTCTGGGCTTTCCCAGTGGGTCATAGCCAAGTCACATACAGAAGCCAATTCCGTTCCCTTACGCTCCTGAACTGCACATTGATTCAACTGGTTTCAAGGACGCCAGGGCAGGACGGGGGTCCAGGCGGCGAGAGGTGAGGAGCAGAGGACCTTGGCAGAGCCTGCTCTGTGCCCTTTGAGTCGCCCTACAGGGATTTATCACCTAAGTCCCCCTTTCCTAGGGTCCCTCCTGATGCCGCTGCTAGAGATGCCAGCTGGTCCAGCCCTCGGAGGGCCCTGCCCTAGGTCAGGCTCTTTAGAGGGCAGGATATCCTACTTGGGTCGCAACAGCTGACCCCTCCACTCTCTGGTCCTCCTGGGTTATCCCCAGCCCCAAAGCTTCTGATAGAGTGACCCGCTTACAAATCAACCTTGATCATGCCTCTCCCTGGAGCAAATACCTCCCCCCACCAGCCAGACAGGGCCCAAAGTTCTGAGTGGTACCCGAGGCCCCACCCAGCCTGGCCCCACCCACCACCTCTCCACCCCAGGCTCCTTGGCTTCATTCTCCAGCCTTCCTTTAGCACCCCAGCTCTTCTCCAACTAGTGGGTTTCCTTTTCTAGGAGGGCACTTCCAGCTGGGCGTGAAGGAGAAACTGATAGTCCCCTGGGGGGTGAACTTAAAGACCTTGCTTTCATTAGCATGATGTTGTAGCAAACTGCCAAGTAGCCTCTGAGGAAATGGGCTTTACATACATATATACATACCGTCCCTAGCCTCTGAAGCAACTTCAAATACCTTGATGTTATTCTTGGGAGCGGTTTAATTCTTCTGATATTCTGGATTCATGTTTTTGTAACCCTCTAGACAGACTTTTATCCATCTCTTGCCAACCAGGGCCTGCATGCTCACAGAAATATTTGTACATCGACAGACAACAATGTTTTCATATTTGATTCAGTCCCATCCTTTTTCCCCTAGTTTTGGTTCAAAATATTTTTTTTGTCTTATAATAGCTTTTGCAGAAAAATATGTTCAAATAATTAAAATCAGGTTCTTAATCTACATTATTGAATTTATTGTCGCAGTATCCTCTGAGTATGCTGTGGGGGAGGAAAGGTATTTTGAGTAAACGCCTGGAGGTATCTCTGCCCTTTCCAGCATTTACCAAGCACTAGTAAAATGCTGTGAGAGTCACATATCCTGCGACTTGTACCATGGGTTTCACCCGGTGACGAAGGGATTGGGGGGGGTGGGGGACATATAGAGAGATTTAAACCTCCAGGATGCTTTTTATAAAACCACCATCTAATTCGCCTCATGTTCTCCAAAATGAGCACCTATCAATTTCATTCTGGACTCCTAACAGGTCAAACCAGGGAGACTTCGTTGAAATATACTTGGCATTTAAATTAAAACGTTTCCCAAAGTATCTTGGCAGACCTGTAACTAATGATGCCAGAAGCCCAAGGCCTGTGCCAGGTTCATTTTCATCCCTATAAGTGCTTGTCTCCCACAAGCCGCTGGTCACACGCCTGCTGATGTTATAGCTGTACTTCTTCCTCACACAACAGCCAGACTGGAGGTACCATTTCTTCTATATGGTGATGGGAAGCAGCATGTTCCTCTGACATGTGCAATTCTCGGCTCCCAGCAGGCTTTTTAATAGCTAAACTCAGATTTTTTCATCACAAACAGCATAGTAAGTGACTATTTCTCCTCTTTCCTGCTTGTCTCTCTGCAGTTACTAAGTGATTGCTTTCCATTTCTCCTATTCCATGAGCAATGTTATTGAATAAATTGTAAGTAAATATTTTGCCAAAATTCTTGCTGAAGTGTTTTCATGGCATTGTAAAATTCATAGAAGTTACAGTGAGAAAAAGAGCCAAAATATCATAGTCATTCCTCAGCAACTATCTAATGGTTCCTTCAGCCTAATTATCAAAGCAGGGCAATAAGAGATAGGCAAGACATAGTAAAATGCTCATTCCGGTTAACTCCATGATGTTTATGACAATTTATTATATCTAATACTAATGGCTGAATTCTGATGAATAATTTGTTCATAATGTTTAAAGTCAATAGATACCTTTAAAATCTCATTATCTCATCATGCCAGCAATACATAGACTTATCTCTTTAAAATGTTCTTCACATTTCATTCCATCTCAGCTTTTACTCATTATTGTCACCTTCACCAAACTGCCCTTCTATTTGTTCGCATCTTTAATTTGATGCCTAGACATGAGCTATTCAGGCTCCCTGGTCCATAATAACCTTCCTTTGGCCTCCCAGGATAACACTGACGTTGTTTACTGACTTCTTGCCGTCATTTATACCCTTGCAGATTATGAATTCATGTCTGGTTTCCAGTTCGCAGGCTCTAACAGTATGACTCTCAATTTTTCTGACTCACTGAACAGTTGACCTTCAGATTATTTTCCCCCTCAATATATTATGATAATTTTCTTTTCCAAATCTCAATCTCGTTTTATTTCCTGTATTTCTCTAAAGATGCAGTTGAACCTCTGAACTTTCACATTCGACTGCTCCCCATATGCTTAATGTGAGAGCTTACTAGAGCAGAAAGTAGAAGACCAAAATGCTTTAAGGAAATAGATCATATCAATGTACTGGTCCACAGTGGCTACCCATTTGCTTCCTGAGTTAATCCAAGGTGTTGATTTTAATCTAGTATGCTTCTAAGGCTTGGATTATGTTTATTTTCTCATGATTCTCAGCAGCAAATATGTAGTGATTACCTTTCTTCCTAAGCACCAATGAGACAAGTTAGACCTGCCAAAAGCTTTTACCTGCATATTCTTCCTCTCCTGACACTCAAGATCCTTCACCCACTTCCCTCGAAGCTGTCTTCTCCAAGTGTATATGGCTGCCAAGAAGTTAGGCACTCGGAATTATATTGACGCTTTCCAGCCACTGAGGGACCAACCACTGCATGAATTCATTCAATTGCTGTCTGTGGCTATTGAGTTAGGTAGTACTTGAGGGAATCTATTAATTTCTGGGGCTTTGATAGGATTATTCTATCAGTGAAAGTAACAATATGATTTGCTCTAAAAATTACTGTTGCTTATCACACTACTTTTGTAAACTCATGTATTTGACTGTATGTCTACTATTACTTTATTATAGGAGTCATTGCATATTCAAATGCTTATAGGAGCCAGGTAAATAATGCAATGAGTTAAGCTGGGAGGATTTGTTTCATAAGAACAACATAATTTATAGTTTTTCAGCAGTGATATATTTGCGTTTCAAGTACAGAGGGATACTCTTCCTGAGTTGTCTTTGGTTTCCCAATTTTGAAAAAGCCTTGGATGTAAGAGATATCTCACTTTCCTCTTAACTCTAAGAAAGAGAGTGTGAACAAAGTGATAAATAGCAACTGACACTCAGCCAGGTGCTGGGCAGCAATATGGAGTGGTAGGGATTCAGATAACCTGGTGAGGAAGCTTATTGTGCCAGAATCATCTTACTTTTCCAGAGAAGTAAAAAAATCTGGAATATAAAACTCACTAATATATTAGTTCATTCTCTTAATAGAAGGACACCCTCAAAGTGAGGTCTCCATATATTGTTCTTTAGAGGTCTACAGGGAGGCCTATTTTTTTCCCATTCTACCTCCTAATTGCATGATAAGGAAAACAGAACAAATATCTTCCAAATTTTGCACTTATTTGAGTCTCATCATTCTGATTTTCAAGGTCAGATTTATTTGAATAAGTTTAAGAAGTCCGAGTCTGATGACCATATCGTTTTGCACATCCCAATGTGTAATGTATGGCTCCCAAATGACTTCCCTTCATCTACCCATCCCACTTCCCAAACGCAGAATTGCATCTCTGACATCTGAAACTCAGAAAGCCATTTTCTAGCCCAGAACTCTACCCTTTCATCAGTCCCATCCCCTTACTTCCCCAAACCTACCTCCTTCCTAAGACCTGTGCTTCCTCCACCCCACCCTGTGCTCAGTCTATCAGCACTCCGTTCTGTCTGTTGTTTCCATACCCAGCCTGGGCCTCATGACCAAGTCTTTTCACCACATTCCCACCAACATCCTAGACCTCTCACACCATTGTCCTTAGTTGTGCCTACATTGCTAATCTATAGCTTTGTACATCTCCAGCCATACTTTTCTCCATACATATCCCCAGGCTGCTACTCTGCTAGGGAAAAAAAAAAACTCATATAGCCCTGCTGACCAGACAAATGAATGATTTCTGTGTTCAGCGGGGCCTCTGGTGCTCTTAGGCAATGTTTTGCCCTTTGCTAACTACCTCCAATTTCCATTCTTCAAATTGTTCCTCTCCAAATCCCGACTGACCCACTGGCCCTCCTCTCATCAGTAGTCCTATGACTTGACTTCACACGGACAACAAGATACATCAAGAAATAAACTGCTTTAACTATCCCTACATCCCATTGAGCCTTACCTCACCCTCCACCCCTGCTGTCTAAGCTAATCCAAAATCAGAAACCCTCTCTGAATGTCTTGTATGATTATTGGACTCTTCTGTTCTGATGTGGTTATTCTTTTGGGGAGACCACAGGGTTCTGTCCTTCTCTTTGGGTAGAAGGTACA